TGTGTGATAAGGAGACCCCTGTCACTGATACTGTTAAACCTTCTTCTAGTGAAAATGTTTCTGAGCCTTGTCGCAATAATTCTGAGAGTCTTCTCAGGACCCAGTACTGTTCCATGTCCATAACTCCATTCTGGGACGAGTACTTCCTGTTAAAGATGCAGGAAGCACACCAGTACTTGACAGTGTGCCTATGGAAAGAAGAACCCCCAACCAGGTGGCCTACTAATCCTGTATTAGTAGGATTCTGTAATGTTAGCTTGGCTGATCTAGTGCTACAATGCATATCAACCTCTAGTAACTCTTACAACGAATCCTTGATGCTGTCTCTACCCAGTGATTTGAAGTGGCAGGAAAATATTGTTCTCAGTGTGGGATCTCTACCTCAAGTCCTTCCCAAGATGGCGTGTATTGCTGGAGAAGTGAAGCTACAGCTAACATACTGTTCTACTGATACCAGCTCCTGTGAGCATTCCTTTGTAGTTGGCCAGGTTGAAAGAGAAGAGAAATGTGATGTGTGCTCCAAAGTTGTGGTTCACAAGACGGCTTACATCTGCTCAATGTGTGGAAATATACGCCACGAACAGTGCTTGAATTCAGATCCAACACCTCCCCCCAGACGCAGTGTCTCAGTGAATAGAAGACCAGATAATCCTACTACCCCAGTTCTACGTAGTAGATCATTTAGTGTCCAATCTGGAAGAAGCACTGCAGAGTCTAGTTCAAGTTCCTTTACTTTTCTTAAAGGATCGGAAAAGAAAGCAGCTGTTTTTGATGAGAAGTTGCATGATATTGGAAACAAACTGAAAGAACAGATTGCCCTGAGGAAAGCTCTAATAGGAGCGAAGTCTCGTTGTTCAAGTGTCCCAGTAGCAATACGGGAGCAACTGGTACAGAACGGGGAAAGTATCAAGAACTTGACAAACCTCAAGGAGCAGCTCACGTGTGACAGTGAATTATCAATTGTTTTATAATTCACTTTGTGGTTGATTTAATTTTGATTTTCTTTAGATTTGAACTTATCAAAATAAAAGCTCAATGAATATTTTTGATTTAGCTTAAATTGGTTTGTCTTCATAATTGTGATGGTGGCGCTTTTCATAATGCTTGGTGCTTACTTCTTATGCACAATTTTGTATGGTAAACCTAAAAATAGTTGTTCATATTTTAGAGGTAAATGCTTATGTTTAAAAAAGTCAAGTTTATTTTTTGTAATTTTCAGATTTTACGTTATATGGTGATGATGTGTTTTAGATGTTTTTATGTGATTTTAATTTTTAAGATATACTTTTTTTATAGTGGTGACAATAAATTAATGTAATGATATGAATTATAATGATGTAAACCTGATATTAAGTTTTCAGAGCTGAAATTTTTTTTATTTTTCGTCAAATTTATTCAATTAAGTATAAAACACATTGAATAATAAATACCATATTATAAAATTATGTTGTGATATCCAGCTTGCCAGTTTACAATAAAACCCTACATCCGGATTAATTGCAGCCTTTCCCGAAAACTCAGCGTTAAATTGGGGTTTTACTGTATTATATAAAGGCTAAATTAGTTTGTTAATTATATCAACCCCTCCAGTAGCTCTCATGGCTGATGTTGAAGTAGCTGATGTTGAAGTAGCTGATGTTGAAGTAGCTTTGGAACAAGTCGAGGACCTGGAAGCATCATCCGAAGAGGAAGATGACGAGGAGGAGGTTGAACCAAGCCTCAAATACGAGCGCTCAATCAAATCCGATCTAAGGGACCGGATATTTCCCAACACTAAGATCTCGATCATCTCTGTTCATGAAAAGTTTATAGTTTTGGGTGATGTACACGGGCAGGTGTTCCTACTTGATCACAGTGGGAACATCATCAGACAGATAAACGCCCACAAGGGACCAGTTACCTGTATTTCAATAGATTCTACTGGCGAGTACATTGCCTCATGTTCACGACACGATCCTAACGTTATAATCAAGGGACTCTACAAGGAGTCTTCTGAAAGGGATTCCTCTGAGTCCTTCAGGGCTGCAGTATACTCAGTAGAGCTGGGTCCTGACTTTGCCACACAAGGGCACTACGTAGTGGGGACTGATAGGCTCATGTTCAATGAGAAGGGCTTCTTTGGGGTGAAGAGAAGTGTTCTACACGCTGGGGAAGGTCCCATTTGGAAGGTGAGCTGGAAGAAAACTTTCATTGCTTGGGCTAATGATATGGGTGTTAAAATATTTGATACTAATAGCAGGAAGCTAATAACGAAGATAGCGAGGGACCCTAAGTCCCCCTCCCCAGCAGATTATCAGTGTCACCTCTGTTGGTATAACGGAGTCACACTGCTCGTAGGATGGGCTAATACCATTAAAATATGTCAAGTTAGACCAAGAACTTCTGCTGACTCCCAGGACCTGCCGCCATTCTATGTGGAGGTCATGAACATTATATACCTTGATCACTATGTGTCAGGCATTGGACCACAACCTGATGACAAGATAATATCTCTGGGGTACCGAGCACCAGAGAACGGTCAACCTGTCCGACCTTGTATTAGAATAACTAGTTTTAATGGTGAGGAGCTGTCCTTAGAGGAGTTGTCAATTAAAGGATACGAGACTTGCGGACCTAACGACTACAACATGTCCGTTTTGACTTATGACCATTTCGTTTATATTTGTGCTCCAACTGATTTGGTACTAGCTAAACCGAGGGATATGGATGATAAAGTTGAGTGGTTGAAAGATAGACTCAGGTTTGACGAAGCGCTTGAAGTGGTTCGTGTTCATGAGAACCAGTTGAGAAAACACACTTTTAAATCAGTGGGACAGAAGTACCTGGCACATTTGCGGAGTGTAGGTCAGTTTGAGAAATGTGCTGAAGCGTGCAGCTCAATATTACAAGGTGATGGGGAGGCGTGGCAACAGGAAATCATGGCTTTCACCAACTGCAAGAAACTCACCGTCCTCTGTCCTTACATTCCTACCAAGAAACCAGTCCTAAAACCCTGGGCTTACGAACTCGCACTTTCATCATTCCTCAACGCTCACGAATTTGAGTTGTTTGACAAATTTGTTCGACTGTGGCCCCCTGAGATTTACGGACAACAAGCCGTTATCAATTACCTGAAGAAAATGTTATCAGAAATAAAGCTAAGCCCAGCTGATAACCTATCGTTACTGAAATGTCTGGGTTTACTCTACGAGTACCAAGAAGACTTTGTTAATTCTCTCTATCTCTACATCAAACTGTCAGATCCTAAAGCTTTCGCCCTGATAGATAGATACAACCTGTTCGCCTCACTTGAAGGTGACGACAAAATCTTAAGATTACTCACGTTAAACGAAGAGAAAGCTATTGACCTGTACATCAACAACACTGACAAAATCCCGGTCAGTATGGTAGTAGAGGACCTCAAGAAGAGAGACAAGAAAACCAAGTCCTCAGAAGTATCCAGACGGACCAAGCTCCTCTACAAGTATCTGGATAGTTTGTTCCAGATGGACCCAGAGATAGGGTTTGAATACCATGAGGATATGATAGGACTGTACGCTGAATACGACACCTCTCCCGGTAAGAGTAGATTAATGCGCTTCCTAAGGGAAAGCACTTCTTATCCTATAGATAAAGCGTACGAGATATGCGAGAAGAGGAAACTTTATGAGGCACAGGTTTATCTGCTGACCCAGATGGGGAGACCAATACAGGCCCTGTCGCTGTTGGTGGATGAGATAGGGGATATCACTGCAGCTATTGAGTTCTGTAAGGAACAGGACGACAAGGAGTTGTGGGACAATTTACTGAAGAAAGCTACTGAGAGTAACAAATCTTCTTATATCACGGGTCTTCTACAGAACATTGGAACTCACATTAACCCAAAGGATCTGATAGCGAAGATACCGAACGGACAGAAGATAGATGGTCTGAGAGACAGCCTGGTGAAGATACTGTGTGATTACAAGTTACAGATTCACCTGAATGAAGGGTGTAAGAGGGTGTTTGTTAATGATACAGTTAGTTTATCTAGGAAGATGCGGGGATTAGCTCGGAGGGGGGCGCATGTTGATGAGGAAAGTAACTGTCAGATCTGTAAAAACATGGTTATATCAGATAGGGAGAGTAGCGATGTTACTGTCTTCTTCTGCGGTCACGTCTTTCATAATGAACCGTGTCTTGAACGGTTGGGGAAGAATTATTGTATTTCTTGTCGCAAATAATGTGAATTAAGAGATTGGATTTAAAGTTTAATTATATCAAAGATTTTTATTAATGTTTATATTGTTTTTCCGGCTGAATAAATGATAAAGAAAATGATCATTCGATCCACATGAATGTACATACTACATAATGTTGAGCGATAAGAATTTGATTGTTAATTTTAAAGTGAACAATTTTTACATTTTCTATTGCCAGTAAATCACGCCACTATCGGTCTCTTATCTAAATCAGTAACGTGCGATATTAAACATTTTATACAAGACGTATTCTCTGCATGGCATTCGAGTTAGAAGAAAATTATACTGTTCAACTGCAACGTTCATTGTCGCGACAAGCTTAAAATTGAATTTTTATTGTGCAGCCGCTGAGTTCACCAGTAATTGGAAATCATATCAATAATTAATGGGGGGGGGGGGGGGGGGGGGGGGGGGGGGGGGGGGGGGGGGGGAGCGGGGGGCAACTTATGGACATATTCTCTGTGAGATGTAAATTATTTTCTTTGTTTCGTGTTTTGATTGATAATAAATTTTGACTTTGTTATACGTTCCAGCATTCTCATTTTCTGTGTTCCTATTTAACGTGTATAATTCTATAAAGCAGTAAGCATACCATTAACTGTAAAATCTCTTTCTTAGTCTTTTCTGTCTTAGTTTTAATTCTCTGTTTCATATTATTATAGGATATATTCTCTAGTAAATATATCCTACTAATTATTATGTGTTAGCCCTGAGAAATGTTTCGGATGTAATGTTATGTTTGATTTTAAAAAGTGTTATTAATGACCCTCGGATATTTTAGGTACCTAGTGATGGACTATTCGAGCAAAGATCCACCACCTCCTACTTACGATGCTAGTTATGGTGGTTACCCACCCCAGGCAGGTGGTTACCCACCCCAGGCAGGTGCCTACCCACCCCAGGGTGGCGCCTACCCCCTCAAGCAGCTCCGTACCCCCCTCAAGGAGCCGCCTACCCACCCCAGCAAGCTGCCTACCCTCCGCAATACGCCCCTCCTGGTCCCGCCTACCCTCCTACAGGAGGCTCCTACCCTGCCCCTCAAGCAGGGAAGGACCATGTAGCAGTAGATGTGGGATATAGTTCAGGTAATACAGATGATGATATGATCCGGGTAGGTAACCGAGGACTATCTGATCCTGACATCAGACGAGGTTTCATCAGGAAGGTCTACATCATCCTGTGCATGCAGTTCGGAGTTACTGTAGCAACCATACTACTCATGCAGAAGTTTGTGGGTAACCTGCGTGAGAACTGGGACGCGGGAACCTCTCAGAAGGTGTTCATATCAATGTGGGTGTGTCTGGTTGTCTTTATTGTGATTGAGATAGTGCTAGTGTGCTGTGATAGTGTGAGGAGGAAACACCCCCTCAATATTATCCTGCTCTTCATCTTCACTCTGGCTATGTCAGGGTTTGTGGGCTGCATTACCCTCTACTACCGCGTTGATGCAGTTCTCATCGCCGCGGGCTCCACCTGCATAATTACACTGGGTCTCACTTTGTTTGCTTGCCAGACCAAGGTAGACTTCACCAGCAAGGGAGCCTACATTTTCGCTATCTTCATGGTCTTCATCTGCTTCGGCTTCTTCATGATCTTCTTCCACAGTCGGGTCCTGCAGGTGGTGTACGGATGTATTGGAGTCCTGATCTTCAGTATGTTCCTTGTCTACGATACTCAGATGCTGATTGGGGGGAGAAAGTACGAGCTGACAGAGGAGGAGTACGTGTTCGGGGCCCTCACTATCTACATTGATGTTATCCAGATCTTCCTCTATCTCTTATCTATCTTGGGTAATGAGTGAATCAGCTTCATTGGAGATGGAAGTGTTAAATGTTATTTTTAGTATAGACTTGTTTTTTCAATGACTTCACAGTGCAACATTAGTTTGAAACTTCAAAGGTATTAAATTTTCATAGCATTATCCCCTATTTAAATCATCACGTGATTTAAAATTATTGATTTCCAGAGTTCAAAGTCTCAGATTTGTTTGAAGAGTTAGATGTACATATAATCTTGAATGCATAGTTGAACTGAATTGTTGATGATTGAAACTCAAGAATTTTCCCCGAGGAGTTTTTCAGAATGATTGTTTAATAACTTTATCACAATTAAGAAATAAATTTGATTTTTTTACTCAATTTTTGCTTTCAAAGAAGAAGTAAAAAGTTTCCGAAATACTAATAACGCTTTTTTGACTGCTTTTTTTTTATTTCAAATGCTTTCTTTAAATTTC